AATGAGACTGCACCATTAGTTTGGATTCTACAGGATTTTGGAATAATCAGGTGTCTGATTATACAGGTTTTTGTACATACATGTAATGTGATATCTATTTCTAGGAAACGTTCCTCTGCGTTAATGGCGAGTTGAAATCCTCTGGCAGTGTTAGACCTATAGCTACCAGCCCAAGTCACCGGATCTTCATAGGTTTTTTCAGGTTCTGACATCAAATACAAAATTAGCTTACTGCTAAGGAGATTAGTTCTAATGCTATCAGCAGTGCGGTAAATATTCCAAGCCTCGGAGAATCACTCGATGATTCCAGAAAGACTTGTGATGTCATAGACGTACACGTTGTCTATACAAGTAACCGCATCACAAAGCTTCCTACACATCCAGCGGAAAATATTCGGACAAAAATTTAAAAGCAATGAGCTTTTTTTTTTAACCGTTCATGTAATATGTTTATCAATTATATGACTCTGAATTAAATTCCAGTGCTCGTCATCTAAGCGGTCGACTGTCTACAAACATCAGTTTCAATTCACAAGTTTCGCTGTAATTTGTAAGGATGAACACATTCTCATGGTGATCTTATCTCATGGTTTGTTGACAGTCACCGCGTACTGTAAAATATCTGGGGAATTTTTGGATCGTAAACCATCTTATTGAAGGGACAATACAGATGAACATCTCAAAGAGACACCGAGACAGATACATCAAAAAATGCAAGGCAAACGCTAATATTCTGATAATGATTCTGAAACATTCATTGAACTGTACCATGGAGCCTCGCTCTGCAAACAGCAGGACAAACTGGAACTTTTAGTAAGAATGGGAAAAGTGCTAGTCAGAGACGACATATAAAGCAAACACCAAACTTTTGGTGACATGACATCATGTCGATTGACAGGATTCCTTTTTAACACATGATGACATGTCGATTGACAGGATTCCTTTTTAACAAATGATGTCACGTCAATTAACAGGATTCCTTTTTAACAAATGATGTCATGTCAATTACAGGATTCCTTTTTGGGACAGGATGTCATTTCGATTGACATGATTCCTTTTGGGGACATGACACCATGTCCCTCGACAGTATTCCTTATGGGGGAAATGACGTCATATGCCTAACGATTGTTATTATTCCTTTGTGGACATGACGTCATGTGAATTGACAGGATTCCACTAAAATCAAGAGTCTGTAGAATCAAGGATCCCAGTAACACATTTGACAAAATAAGAATTTATTATTTGCCAGTGAATTCAAAATATGTCTCCTTCATTTTACTAGTATCAATACAGAAACTTCAATCCAAAACTTCAATCCGAAATTAGAACAACTTTTACAAGCTAGTCTGGAAAGAACACACTATTCATTTTTTATCCAATCAATAACTAGTTTGCTTATAGAGACAGGTGTTGTGTTTAGGTCCAATATATCGGCATACACGACAGACTTGTTTTAGTCCCTATTAATATCGTAAATTATCAAAATATTGTCCGACAACGACTGTACAAATATTTACAGCTTTTATTTTGTCCTCTGCTTTGTTCATGTGCCTGCACAGTGATGGCTTATCTGACCAGTAATGAATTCATAGTTAGAATGATCGTAAGGTATGCAGGCTCTAATTAACTCATTTTTGTTCATGGTCTCGTTGAATTTGCTCAACATTTAACATTATTTATTAATTTTCATACATTCCTCATGGCAGGAGAATTACCGTAACACTATCTATAAATATTTTACATTATTAATTAATTTTCATACATTCCTCATGGCAGGAGAATTACCGTAACACTATCCATAAATATTTTACGTCAGTCTGCGAATAACAGAGATAAGGATTTACCTTTATGATTTATAGCAAATGACGTCTATACTTAATACTGTGTAATTATACCAACAGATTTTGATGTGAAACAGGTGTGCAGGCTTATAATCATATGTTCAATTATTCATTAAAAATGTGACATTTGTTTTCATATGATCAACATATATTATAGACTCTGTTATAAGACTCTTATAAAACAAGACCGCATGCATAACAAGTACATGAGCGTGTTAGTTCTGACGCAGGAAAACAAAAGTGCTCCATGAAATATTAATCTGTAGCTTCATGAGGAACACATAAAAGTGGGTTGCTGTTCCCCTGGGGGCCTCGGTGGTGGAGGAGATGAGTCGCGTCTGTCATTGCTACGTCCCTCCAACGACAAGGACCAGTAAGCCAGCGTTCCTAAGCCACACACTAAATGTCAGTCTGATCATTCTTCCAGCACCTGCTTAAACTTCTTTAAAATATTTATGTCAACCCTATCCGCTAAATTCCTGACTACATATCATACCTGTCACTCTAGTGCCCAAAAATAAGAGTTACTTTATGTTTGAATATATTAGGCAATTGTTTAAGAGAACAATGTGCCTCTCTGACAAGTCCACCTTCACAGCTCAGAAATATACATCACTGGTCTTAAACTAAACAAACAGGGGGTTGCCTTATTATCACCAACATAGTGGTCACAGACAAATGCTAAATGTCCTTTTGTAAAATCAAAACACTTTTTTCATTTTAAACAATAGAATAATAAAACTGTTTGTACAAGGATACTTTTTTTTCAGTTCAATAAATTCTATTATCGATTACTCAATAATGGCAACATAAACACCTCAACATTTGTGCTATATGTAGCCATGCATGTGTGTGTTGTGTAGTTAGTATACATGTATGTGTTGTGTAGTCAGTATACATGTATGTGTTGTGTTGTCAGTATACATGTATGTGTTGTGTAATTAGTATACATGTATATGTTGTGTAGTCAGTATGCATGTATGTGTTGTATAGTCAGTATACATGTATGTGTTGTGTAGTCAGTATACATGTATGTGTTGTATATACAGTAGTCAGTACACATGTATGTGTTGTGTAGTCAGTATACATGTATGTGTTGTATATACACAGTATATATGTATGTGTTGTGTAGTCAGTATACATGTATGTGTTGTGTAGTCAGTATACATGTATGTGTTGTGTAGTCAGTATACATGTAAGTGATGTGTAGTCAGCATACATGTATGTGTTGTGTAGTCAGTATACATGTATGTGTTGTGTAATCAGTATACATGTATGTGTTGTGTAATCAGTATATATGTATGTGTTGTATAGTCAGTATACATGTATGTGTTGTGTAGTCAGTATACATGTACATGTTTTAGAGTCAGTTTATATGCATGTGTTGTGTAGATAACAAATATTACAAATGGTTTTTTCAAGCATATATGCATTCACACAGCAAAAAGATGTTCATCATCATTTCCCACTTTTATATCATACGATATATTTCCAACAACATCTAGAACTTTCTTGTGAATATTTCAGACCTTGTAGATAGTTGATTTATTATATAACTCTATTATCAGTAACTAAAGCACAAAAAAAACACTAAAATTGATAATACCAGCAGAAAATTCATTTGACATGCTGGCCTGTCAACATAGTCAGGAACATTTACACTCTCATATGAAATATCTAAGATCAATAAAAAACAATTTCCAACTTCTACAGCTTGTATAGACCCAAATCATAACCAGGGCTGTCAAATTATCTGCCATGACAGGTGACATGTAGAATATACACAGTAATATACAGACAGGCCGAACTCAAAACTGAGAGCATATGTTTTGTGACAATTAAGTGCAGGCTGTCTGTCCCTGTTAACTACGTCACTGCATATTTACTGAATGGGGATCCAGAAATGTTTTGATAGAAAAATCATACATCCTCTGGCCCCAGTTATGTTATCTCAATGTCATTAGTGTAAAGTTTACAGATGCTGTGGAGTGGAGTTGTTCAGGTGTAATCAGTCCGCAACAATGCTCTGTGCATTATAAACTTTACACTTTTATTGTGTAGTGTGAATCCAGCCAAACAAACACAGGTATCACGTTTTTAAGACATTAGGAAGGATAGCATGTTTTTGTCTCTTCTCTGAAAGGTTGAGTCACTGGTAAACAGCAAAAGCAGTATACGACTCAACTTTTAAGAGTAATTTGATTCCCCTTAAATAGAACTGACAGGGCATTGGCATAGGATGGTTCAGTGACTTTCGCTGCATCAAGGATTGTGTGGTTACATTTGTTTAAATACAGGAAATTATCAGCATACAAAATGTCTTTAAGACTTGACATCACAATACAAAAAGTATCCATGTTTGATTGTGACGTTCAATCAACATTTGTTTTTTATGTATTTTTTTTGGGGGGGTGGGGGGGGATCATAACACTGGCATTGCTAGGGAAATGTAATCATCAGAAAATTCAAGAGATTGGCATTGAACGTCATATGTATTGAACTCTTATATGTCACCCACTTTTCTTACGTTTTCATACAAACTTGTGAAGATATCAGAAACTCATTAATCATTCTCATGAAATAGATGTTTTCAAAGCCCTTATGAGACCCCTCTATACATATAAAATAGATCAATATTTATATGCGTGTTAAAATTCAAAAAAATATTTTTTTCAAAATTCCAATTAGCTAATGAAATGCAGTTTAAAAAGGAAATTATGTTCTCATTTTAATTAGCCTTTACCTTCTTAGAAAACACAATGACTCAGGTTTAAATCAGATTAACATGGTAAGAAGATTCTGCTGCAGAGTACGCCATTTAATCTGATGTTCAGTTCTGACGTGACCAGACTGTCTCTCCAGCTCTCACCCATAACAATTTAATTTAGCAGAAGAGATGGTAAACTCATTTACACTGCCTTTTATGGACCATAATAAATAATTATTGTAAATTTACTAAATTAACTAGTCCAAAATGTAGCACAAACAGAACAAGATTGAAATAGATGAAAGTCAAAACAAGTCAGGGAGACCAGTCAAGTCCATAGTAATCGTACTTGCTATCGCCTGTCAGATCGCTTACTATCAGCCTCTGCAACCAGATTCACTTCCGGAATACACACACATGCACGAACCAAAATACAGCTCGATATTACCTACCTTTGCACTGAAATCCTTGCTTTCCGAATCCCCTGAAAGTAAACAGAGGCAGACACGAATTAAAAGCACATCCACAGAAAAAATGACAACTTCAACATTCGTATAAATCGCGAAACGAATGAGACGAGTAACTGTGTATAACGAGGATTACGCTAAGATTCTCGAGTGCTGTGATTGCCGAGTAGGGCGCTAGTTTACACCCTGCAAAATCAACCAAAACATACCATATAAAATCTTTACAGTGGCTACAAAACGTAGGCTGTTTAAAGAATCTCGGAACGAATTTGTGATCCTTCACTTCATGCACATTTTTCTGCCTTAAAGCTCCTCTTCGATGAACTCCCTTCACCTTTTCGTCAGCCATTTTGACACAGCGCGAGCGATCGTACGGTGCGGGCTGACAATACTCGATTCAGGGCCTTGTGTGTGATGCTCAGCGCTAACGTAGAAAGAGCGAACAACTCTGTGTAGAGTCACTGATTGGTACACTCACTGCCGACCTAAACACTGAACGGTATCCTCTTGCAGCCAATGTTATTTGCATTTTCCTGTGTTTGGGAATAAAAAGAGGGCGTGGCCCGAATAATCTACGATCGGGTCAGGAACGTATAAATGATTTAGTAAATATACGTCTCTGGTAGACTGTTTCCCCTGCGGATGTTATACAACATTAGACCTACATCATAATATATTGTCTATGATGCTAAAAGCAGATCGAATTGTGTGATAAACATATACATGTAAGTGTAGTAGTGTAGTTAATTATTAGGGACCATTTATATCCACATCCACAAGATATGTCCGATATGATGATGATAATGAGGATGATGATGTTTGTTGTGCGAGATATGTATTGATGCATTGGAAGCTATATTTTAATAATGATGACGATGATGATGATGATGATGATGATGATGATGATGATGATGATGATGAGGATGCAGATTGTTTGTGGGTGAGGTGTATTGTAGCAATGATGATGATGATGCATGTACACATCCATATACAGTATTTTTGTGTGTGAAAGAGAATGTGTGTGAGGATCTTTATGTAATAAAAACTTTGAAAAATACAAAAAATACAAAAAAAAAAATATGTCCGCGCATGCTATCATCATGACCATCAGATAATTGCTGACATCCACAAACAAGATATTAATTCCAATTTATTATTAATAAGATTGTTTTTAAGTGTTGCATCCGCGCCTCCTCCCAGGCGTGTAGCTTCCATGTAAGCCAATAAGCCCGGGCTTGCACATGATTTTGACAAGTATAGGTTTTCATGACGTTTTTTTTTCTTGCTGATACTATAAAGTGGAGTTTAAGTTTTGAATATATAGTATACATAGGTAAAAACCAGACAATGTATGTATGTAGGGTGTACAAANCCACCCCCACCCTCCCCTCCTGCACGACCAGACCGGTATTCGAACCCGAGACCCTCTGAACTCTAGACGGACGCTGTACGAATCGCTACATCCATTCATACCAGTGGTGGAGTGCTAGTGGTAGCAGAATGTCAGACGCCAGTCTACGGCAATGCAAGTAGCTGTAGATATTAATGTGAAGAAAAAGAATCACTGCCTCCCCAGGTAACAGGAGAAAGAGAAATGCGACGGCCAGACTGGAATTCGAACCCGGGAACCTCCGAACTCTAGACGGACGCTCTAGATCTACGTGTTGAACTTGGTGTACCGATCGCGACCAAGTCCAGTTCCGCTACAAATATAACGCATGTNCTAGCGGATTAAAACGAGAAAACAGACATCAGGACGTGGGAAATGACCCCTGAGACGGGGGAGACCCCCAGACCCCCCTTAAAGGGAGGGGGAGACCCCCTCCCGTACCCTCCCCCTGCTCGCGCTTCGGCAACCCCATGTCGGGCTTCCACATAAAAGGGCTAGCTACGCGCCTGTCTGTCGATTCGTCCGTCAGTCAATTCGACCCATGTTGTAAAATGCAAATGTGCTGTTGTTGTTT